TCTCTTCTAGTTTATGATCTCATATATAGTTGTTAAATTTCGAAAATGGTTTTACAAATGATTCATTAATCAGTTATCATAATTTTAACTGGTAGATAATAATTCTTCAAAAGTGCCACATCTCATAAGTAAATTCGTATTTCCGATGTTTGCTATATGCTAATGTTAGTATTTGATAAAAAGAGTTCGTTGTCAGCTGTTTATGATTTGTCGTTTTAAATTCATATTGTTTGCCACCAATAATCTACGATTAGTTCATTCATTGAATCTCTATTAGAAAAAAAAATCTCATGAGTTTAACAGATTTACTGAAGCTCATGAATTCATTATGCTCTTTTTATTTTCATTTATATCATGTATTAAGCAATGACTGATCTCATGTAATGATCAAATCTAGAGGAGTTTAACAATGCTTTCAGATTTCTTTGATTTGACCAAGACAAAGTTCATTTTCAATGATTGAAATATATGAAGGCGAACATATCTGCCAATGGATCATGTAGTGTAATAATATATTACTCAAGTATTCTTGTTTATATACATGAAAGAAAGAAAAAAGTTAAACACACTATAATCTAGCACTTGTTCGAAAAAATGATCATTGAATAAAAAATCAATACAGAATAGACAGGACATTCGAAGCACGCAACAAAAAACCAAAATACAAAAAAATTTTGATATATTATTTCCTGTGGCGATTTAGCACACAAAAAAAGGATGATCGCAGGAACCGGATTGAACTGCATCACTGTTTTGTTTTGTCTTTCTTCGTTTAACATGTAACGTTAAAGAAATTTCCTATCTTTCGAAGCAGTTGATGTGGTATATGTTGTTGCTTCATATGTACGTTTAGTTGTTGCTGGTGAAGTGGGAAATTGTTTAAAGTTATTTAATGTTGTTGTTGTACTATATCGATGAAATTCTGGTGTTGCAGCTGCTAAACCACTATTACGTGGTGCAAGCCAATCAACTTGTTGATCATTTATTCTTAAACTTCTTAAATTTCCATGAAAGAAATTTTTCGTACGAACAGATAAATATGGTGGTGAAAATTTTTCTGAATAACCAGCAATAAAAAGTGGACCATGCATATTAATTGAAGTTATACGTGGTTCTGTTTTTGTAAATTGTCTTTTATCAACTTTCATTGCCAAAAGACTACCATCGAGACGCACTTGAACGCAATGCCAAATACCATCACATAAACGTTTTTTTACGAAATCTGTACGAACACTAAATGGTTGACCATCAACAACAGCTCGAGCTATAAGCTAAAACAACGGAATAAAACAATATTAAGATCATCTAGCTCAATTATCAGATGATAACTAATGTACACAAGAATGAAATGTTTTTAATAAACATGATCTAGCAAATAATTGTTCGGAAGACTATTTTTAGAATAAACACATTTAATAATCCTTCAAATTAATAGATTGAACGAATTTCCTTATGAGAAAATGATTAGCTAACTATTTTAAATGTCATATTATCACATTCGTAAGTGAAAACGTGATGATAAATATAAAAAAATTGTAATGTCAACATATGAATGTATTTTATAGGTATTTAATGACATGTATGTATATGTGTGAAATGCATGTCGAGAAGTATCAATTTTTGTCTATTAAAAATAATTTAAAAAAAAAGGCACCTGTCGATTTTGAATTTCAATTGTAAAACTTGATTCTGATGAAGAATCACCCATCCATAAAATTAAACCATCTTGAGTAAATGTTTGTATTTGAAAATTTATCGTAAGTGTATTATGTATTTTAAAATTGGCATCTAATAAAAAAAAAAGATATAATATTCATATGATAAAAGAGAAAATTCATGTAAATCGATCTTTTTTCATACCATAAAGTGCATATGCTCGCCCGTCAAATTGTATTCCTTCCAATGAATTCAGACGACTAACAAATGCTGCATTGCCATAATCGAAATGATCCATACTATATTTACTTTATTTTTATGCTCAATCAAACATTCACATCTAGAATACAAATTGCGTTGATAAGCATTCCAGTAATATCCATTCTGTTATGTATATAACATAATAGACATGAATGATTGACGAATGTCTTGGATTTCTTTCTTTCTTTTATTTTGATATCTGGTGTCAACAGAAGCCCTTTAGCAACGTGTTTGCTTTTTTTAAAAATTAAACAAAATCAATAGGTTTAGATCGAAACTGACCTTGCGATAACAATATGTTAGCATCTATGATACACGTTCACGATTCTTAAACTGTTGAAGAATGTGTATGTGTATATTTGTCTGCTCCGGTAAAATGTGCATGTCTATGTTTATGACTCTTTCACCTTCAATCAATTCTCTTTCTCGGTTCTTCGTTTTTTTTTATCGAGAAAAATTGTAACATCCTATTGCTTCGACTCTTTTCTCTTTTTTTTCAATGTTACGCTGTCAAATATTTGTTGAGGCACTCTACGATTCATATAATGTGACGAAAACTGAGGTGGAAAGGCGAGGTAGTAGAAGCATATGTATATATACATCTATTTATACATATGTACTGACGTTGATATTACAATCATTTACTTGACAATATACAGACAAGGTTATTTCTAGTGTGTTTCATTTTTGTTCTCAAGAAACTATAGAAAGAAGTATACAAAATTTTATATCATCAATTACCTAACTGTAACAATATTACTGAAACGAAAAAAATCGATTGATTTTTTCCTTACGTTAACGAATAGATTGTTTTTGGCGTCGTTAATTTGGTAATAGTAAGAAATTGTTGGACAATAAAGAGTGCGAAAAAAGCAATAATATTGGCCGAAAAAAAATAGTCTTGACAATCAGCCTTCGGCTAACATCGTAGTTCCTTTCTTTTTTTATGTTATCTTATTCTACGTCTTACAATGAATGAATAAGAAGAGAGAAAAGTACACACAGGAGTCCAAGATAAAGAGAAGAAGAAAAATGCGCGACGACAATATATATATATATCTATAATAATGACCAAAAATGACAGAAAACGGAAGAGGCTGTTGAATGCGGACGAAGAACAGTCAGACTTTGACATCAAGATCATCGCTGTTTTTTTTTTCTTTTCATTCTTTCTCTGTTTTTTTTATGATAGCAACCTGTTTGAAAGATCAAGTCTTTTGAGATAAGAGAACGAAAGACTAAAAAAGAGACGTTACATGTATGTGTATGTGTGTGCATATGCCTGAGTGTATGCTGGCACTTAAGTGTAGCGGAAGATGACTCTTTTGCTCATTCACACGTTAATACCCGTTGTTTCATAATAATATTCGACACTGAAGGTTAAAAGTTAATTTAAAAATACATACGTATCAATTTACATCTGTTGAAATAAACTTTATATTAGCTCGATAAGATCATTATAAATGCCGAGTCATAATGGTCGTTTTATCCTTGTTAATACAACGAAATTCTGGTGGTATATGCATGCATACATATATATATATATGTACATAAAACTTTCTTTTATATCTCAAGCTAATAATTGTTATTGTTGTTGTTATTATCGATTTTCTTGTCATTGGTGAAGGGAAAATGATTTGTAATCGAAATATATGCTTACTACACTTACGTCGATAGACAAAAAAATACGAACGAATAATTATATTTGCTTGACCCTTGTCTGCATTTCTCGCTATGTCATAATAATAACACAAAAGAGAGAAAAAAAAAAAGAAAAGCGTTATACTGTGTTCTAATTGCGTTTACAAGGCCATTTTTATGTGTCTGCTTTGACAACAACGACAAAAATGTTTTCTTCTCTTGTTATTAATACGCTCTTGTTTCTCTTGATGGGTAGTCTAAAAAGCAATCACTCACCATTCATATACACATACATGTGTCTACATATAGACATAAAGAAGCCTTCTCTATTCCAACTATATACACACTGCAAGGCATGTAATCAGCATGCGACGGCATCATTCTACTCTCAAGTTGAGATGAGAAAAAAAAAGAGCGAAAGAGAAAAAAAAACTGCATGGTACATCAATAAAATGACCCACTATATACACATCATGAATAAATCATAGTAAATTACCAATAAATATTATATGCTCAGTCTTCTTCTATGTCTGAATCTCGGGCAGAAGAAAAAAAAAATTAGCCGAGATTTTACTGCACATAAAGCGAAAAAATGAATATCTAATGAAGATATTTATCTTCATCTTCACAAATGAAAAACATCGAAGAAATATAATTGTTCTCATATCAAAAATAGATTAATATATTGTTAATGGATGAGTTAGACATACATCAAAGAACATCTTTTTTTCTTCTGTATCTATAGATATTATAGCATCGAACTAGTAAAACAATTAGTTTCTCTTTTTTATTTAATAGTAATGTAATAAATCGAAAAGTCGTATAACATAGGATGATTACATTCCACTTATGATGGTAATTTTTAATGTTACATATAATACTTTTTTTTATTAATGTTTTAAAGCAAATTCTTTTTCCTATGTCAAATAATTACTTATGTATCTAGATGATTGGATACATTACTTACAGTTCAATGAATCAGGAATAAAGATTTCTTAACCGTAAAATTTGTTTTGCATTTTGCTTTTTATCGAATTTCAAGAAATCCTTATCTTTAGACTTTTCTTTGCTCTCTTCAATGAATTAAAAAATAATGTTCAAACGAGAGATATAAAGATAATTTAGCGGAAAACTAATCAACTAATGATTTAATCATATATAAAGCTAATTGAAAAGATTACATAAACATAAAGAATTGTTTCTATTAGTGTAAAAGCTTTATCTTTCAAATTGAAATAAGATTACATGCAAACAAAAGTTTTTTTTTTTTTCATAAAATAGCTTTAAAACAATTTACATAATCAGTATTAATATTCTTTTTTTTTAAAGGAACATCCATTTTTTGATTATAATTATATAACATTAACAACGTAAAAATTGAATATTTAATTCAAAAAAAAAAAGAAAAAAAGTTTCTAAAAGTGTAATAAAAAATACTATGTTCATTTAGCAAGTAGTTTAAGTGCATCATCAATAGCAGTATTTCCACCACGAGCACATGCATCAAGTACTCGTTGTAATTTGTTGTCTTCAATTTTTAAATCCCAAATTTGATTATAAGCACGAAAAAGCCGACGAGCTTCTTCTCGAGGTAGTAAAAAATCATCTGAAAAAACAAGATACAGAGAATTCGAATAATTGTATTACACATACGTTCTCTATTTGTGCTAGCACGATGACTATACATAGCATTGGAAAGGCGTAAAAACCGTGCAAACCATGCAGATGGGTTATTACTTTCCTACAATGAAAAAAATAGTAATTTTGTTTTATTTGAATCAAATATTTGATTATTTACTAATCGTGGTCCTTCATTATGTGTACTATATCGTCCAATAATTCGTATACGATCATTTTCACTATATTCTCTTCGAATTAAATCAAGCCATTGATTACGAGATGGAGTACGCTAAAAAATAAAACTATATATGTATTAAATAAAAGATGTCTTCTATGTTTTACTTCAGTATAAATTGGACTTGATCGGTCTTGAACTTCTTTTATGTCAAGTATTTGTTCTTTTAAATATTGAAAAAAAGCTTCCCATCTATTCATTTTTTTTATCAAAGAAAAAAAAACTTTTTTTTTGCTTATTAATAAAATATATTTACTTATATAATCTTAAATAAGCTCGACAATGTTTTTCAAGTATTTGAAATATTAATGAACGTTGTAATGGTATACGAACTTTATAAATAACTTCTTCTATTTGTTGCCGATTTAAAACACCAGTTTGATTTCGATCAGTATTTTTAAACTCACGATATAATTTATCAAAATCAATTGAACCATTTATATCAAAATATTTTAAATTTTGTTTTAATAAAACTCGAACTTGTCGTTCATCAGGATCGAAACGTTCATTATCATCATCATTAAAGACACTATCACCGAATTTCATTTGTGTTTGATATTGTCTTGGTAAACTTGGAGGTCGACTATAAGAATCATTATCATAATAGTTCTTTTTCTCCTTTAGACTTTGTTGTTGACTATTTAGTAGAAAATGATTTATAATAATGACAATATCAGTTGAAAAAAAAGACAGAAAAATAAAAATTTCTTTTTATTATAAGAATTGGATGTCATGCGTTTACAATCATTGTGCATTGCACAGCTAACATGCAAGCAAAAGTTAAGGAGCGAGAAATATATAGATCGAAAGAGCGAATGATGGTCAAGCATTATATATAAATAAATAATATAAGATAAATGTTTTTGTCTTTCACCTATATAATCATACCTACCCTTGAGTAGATAAATCGTGATAGATGGAATGCAGTGACCAGAACCTACCATGCTGGTACTGTCGGCTCCTATAAAGTGATAACTGACGACACCGAAAATAAGATAATGTGCTTTTATATTTAAGAATATATTTCAAGTACGAAAAAAAAAAGAAGAAACCACTGCATTCAGTTTAAATTTTCACTATTAGACATTTAACGATTATAGTGATGAATAGGACAAGGATTATTAAGATATGAATTATGTTGATGTGAACACCGACATTCCTGTTGATGATAACCATGAAAATTCGGAGAACGATAAACCGAAGAATCATAAGACTGTGAAGGACTGAATTTAAAAAAATGATTATTTTTGATATTTTTTTTCTTGATCTTTACTTTCTCAAATTAATCAAGAACATAACTCACCCGTATTGATTAGGATATATTGATGCAAGACATCTACTAAAATATCGAACCATATCTTCATACTGAACATAACCACGTGGTCGATCTGGTGAAACAAATTTACACATAGCAAAACGAAGTGTATCTTCTTGTAAATTTAACTGAAAAGAAAATCATTGTACAAGAATAATATTTACCAACAAAAAACAAAAAAAAGAAAGAAATTACTCCAAGTTGATAAGCCAGTGATTGAATTACTGAATAATGTACATAACTTGATAAATTTGGATCATATGCTGTTAATTCTTGATAAAATAATTTTAATTTATCAACAACTGTTGAAGATCCTAATTGATTATAAATTTGTTCACATAAACGTTGTTCTTCATAATCAGTTAATAAAATAGGTTCTTCAGGTAAATATATATCAATATTATTCATTATTGGTTGTGGCTGTTGTTGTTGCCGATAATCATAAGAATTTTGTGTAACATTATGAAAATTTAATGGTTGTATGTTTTTAGATATGGATTCATTAATAGGTACTTCTTGATCTTTAATCGTTTGTTGTTGTGGAACATCCGTTCTGGTACTACGAGCAGATGCCGCATTATTAGAATTATTACTGTTGTTATTATTGTTAGTAGTTGTAATAGTTGCTGAAGGAATTGGTGGTAAGACAGAATATTGATTAAGCGAACTATTTGTATTTCGAATAGGTCTTGCAATTTGATCCTGTTTAAAAAAAAATTGAACAAAATATTTCTTTAAAAATTTTCTTCTTCAATAGAAAAAAGAAGAGAACGAAATGACTTTTCTTTTTGTTTATTTGAGTAGCAATATTTTTCTTGACATTTTATGAGAAGAATAAGCTATGATATTTGATGTGTACAAAAGAACAACATTAAACTAGTATTAATACAAACGAATCAATATCATTTTGTAAAATAAAAGCTTAATATTGTTCAAATTGAATAGGGTAAAGCAAGAGAACAACAATTGCTACATAACAAAACAATTGAAATAAGAAGTTTGAGAGAAAAAACATGTGAACAATTTTCAATAGTTTGAAATGTTTAATTATATCACAATATATAAACATATCAAGCAAAAGCAAATAGTTCCTTTTTGAAAGAGAAACAAAAGGATTTTTTTCATTGGCTTGAATGCCATTAAAATATTCAAGTGCTTCCAATTTTGTAAGATCTCATTAAATTAGAAATATAAATCTGATTTTATCCTTTTGCGGTAACTAAAGCCAAATGAAAATATTGTGTTTAAAGAAAAATGAGAGTTGCTATGCTTTTTTTATTGATAGAAAATTTTTATGTGGGCTCAAGAATAAGTTTGTTATAATAATATTAAGAACGCATTTTCTACGACAGTGAAAAGAAGGTACATGGAGAATTGAGTGTTAGTGTAAATTACCGGAAGTTTTTGCTGATACCATGGAATATATTCCTAGATAGATATTGTGATATTTTTTTTTATTATTGAATTATTTAGTAATTATCTTTTTCTTTTCTGTAAAAAAAAATAATAAAAAAAATTTTCATGCATACATACTGGATGTCGAATACGATTGATATATTCAGTACGATATGTTGTGTCAAATCTTTGCTTAGATGGTTGTTGCCATTGAGCATTATCATGTGCATGAACATTTTGGATAGCTTTTGTTGGTGCTAGGTCGGGATCACTAAAGGACATTAAAGTTAAGAATTTTAGTTATTGTAAATAAAAAGATTATCTCACTAAATAAGACCTGACACTGGAAAAAATCGTGTAAATGCCATTGAGAATCGAAATACTTAAAACGTCTTTTTTGATTTGAAAAAAGAAAAAGAAGTGATTGATCCTTTTAACAAATTCGTCAATACACCAGACACCTTCTTATTTTTCTTTACTCTTCTGTTGTATGTGTATAAGTATGTTTGTTGTTAACGTTCTGTCTTTTTTTATCGACGGCAAAGAATAGTAGAGTCAGTTGCTTGGGTACCTTTTTTTTTCACTGATTGCTAAATTTTGTTTTATAACGGAATGAAAGAAAGAGAAGACGAAGAACATATGTGAATTCTTTATTTGACTATGTCTCGCAATCTTAATAGTACTCAGAGGTTTTTTTTTCTCTTCCTTATAAGAATAACATCAATCATGAAAACGTGAATTAAACAAAAGAAAAAAATTTTTTCCTTATTTTTTTTCCTATCAGAATTAACTTATTATTTGCATAAGAAAGTGAAATAATTAAATGCATTTTTTGTAAAAAAAACCTACATATTTTGTATCGATAATGCAGACGGATGTTTAGGTACATAAGCCATTGAATCAGGCATTGATATATAACGACCGCCAATTATTTTCATTGTATGGTCAGGTGTATATTCAGTACCAAATGGTGCATATTTCGGAATAGCTGCTGATGCATAACTAACAGGAATTGGTAACTAGAAAAAAAGATTTATCAAATGACTAGTTTCAACTGAATTATTATTGTGAAAGCGCTAGTTCAATGTTCACATTATATTTCATTAATCTTCTCGCGAGATAATTATACATGTTAAAAGTTTTTTTTTTCATACTAATTATTATTCAAATATGATAATAAAATATTTTTCAAAAAGTTTTTATTTAAAAGAATATAATTTATTCTATTTTTCTTTTTATAAAAGTATATATTTCATTCTTGAAATATAAGTTTGTCGAAATATGAAACAATAATAATTTTTAAAATCTATTTAAGTAAATACTTACCAATGGTTGTAAATGCATTCGTTTTTTACTAAAAGGGCCATGATGATCAATTAATGGTATATATGGATTATTCATATTTGTATATTTTCTTTTGTTTTTCAATTGATCTGTTAATAAGTATATGTTTGTATATATTTGATTGAGCTAAAAATTTATTATGCATACTTTCTATCAACAAGAATGTGTATAGTTTGTTGGTTGTCGACAAAAATAAATTTTGAATGGCATCATTCGATCTGCTTATTTTTGTTTTTCTTTTCTATATAATCATGTTTTCAATTTAACAATCTATTTCTTCTTCTCTCAATTTACACAATTTAAGACATCAGAACAACATCAAGTAACTAAACAACAATGAAACGAGACTAATAAAATAGTAGGTTTCTCGTTCCCCATTCCTTGAGATTTTTTTCGATTATACAAAAAGCCATTTAAATTTTACCAACAGGGTATCATGTATGCATTGTATTTCGTTTTATTAATTTTCTTTTTCCTTTTTCTTTTAAATCTTAAAAGCAACATTGTCAAGCTTCATATTCATCATAAATTTATTTTGCAAATCGATTTTTCTTTGGTTAGAGAAACTAAAGTGAAAGATGATAGTAAGAAGTAACTGTAAGAAAACATCCATCACTTTTTATGTAATCAAAATAGAAAGAATTGACATACTTTCGAATACATATGAATTCTAGAATCGCATATGTTTTAAGTGTTAAAAGAATTGTTTTAACAACAACAAAAAAAGAGAATTTACAATTTTTCAAATGTAAAGAATTGTTAAGTCAGAAAGAATAATAGGTGATCGACAACTAGGACAAACTGGTTTATTGCCAAAATAAAGATGTTGAGTACATAATGAACATAATATATGACCACATCCAAGTGCAATCCATCGAAATGAATATTGTTTATTATTAAAACATATAGGACAACGATAATCAAATAGTGAATATTTATTATTATTATTATTATTATTATTAGAATTTTTATTTGTATCTGATATTGTCTTTCGAAATAGATTTTGTATTCTTGAAAGCATTAAACGACGAAATGGATTTTGTAATGAAATATTTGATGTTTCCAATGTATATTCACTCGATGATAAAGGAGGATTTTGTTGAATTAATAAAGTATTATTTATTATATAAGACCAAAGAAATTTAAATGGACAATGAATAAATTGATTATTATTCATACGAAACCAAGATAATGATAAATAAGTAGAAATAGAAATAAAATCAATGTAAATCTCCATAATAAAGACAAAAATAAAAAATATACTAAATAGAACTGTATAATATCTATCGAATAGATTTAGCCAAATTGAAACGAGAACACTCGTGATAAACATGAGTTTTAAAATTCAGTTAAATAAACAGGCGCCATTATGTTTTTATAAGAGGTTCTTTTCACTCGACCTTACATTGATCATTTAGAAATAGAACAATCAAGCATAAGTTTTAATGTCTTCAATTTAAAAAAAAAACGTTCAGCTTTCAAATACAGAGCCAAATGAGTTAAACTTATGTGAATTTACTTTTTATATTTCTCAATTGCTCATAGTAATTTGAACATGAAGTTTTTAATTGCATTTCTTTGCTTGTCACATCACCTGAAATTCTAAAACTGTGTACTTATTCATTTAACCTTCACATGAAAAAATAACAAAGAATTTCTTTTTTTCTTCTTGAGTCCTTCAGTGAAAAATAAACCTCCTAAAGTATTTTAATTATCTATTTAAAAACATTGTAAACAAATGATTTTTAACAAAATAGAAGTGTCTTTTTTATTTATTACTAAAAAAAAGATTTTACTAAATATGAATATATACATATAGCTGATAATACTATATAAAAGGAAGACACCGAAGCAAAGAAAAGAAAAGAAATGAAACGACGACTTATAATATTTGTGCTTTTTGATCGCTCGTGCGTGACTATTAGGAAAACGATTGGTATTTTGTCATTGAATATGACAGAAAAGCAAACAGCAATGTTAAATATTATTATTGTTCTGAATCATATTCGCAAGATTTGTATATAACTAAACGAATAAAATCTATTCAAAAATTGATCATCATGCAATTTAATCAAATACCATTGGTACCTGTAGTTCCCCAAATTCAACGGTAGACTAAGACAAAACATATTTTTACATCTTTAAAATTTGCTTTCTTTTCGTATGTCTCAGAGATCCAGCAGCAGTTAGATTTGGAATTTTTTTTCTTAGCGCACTAGCAATTCTTACAATAGGAACTGGTATTGGTATTGGAGTTGGAAATCTTTCTCATTATTGTAAGTTCTATGTTTGTCTTTATGAAATGTTTTATTCAACTATGTTTCTAGACTATTATCCACCAAATAATCAAACAAATGTTGATTATACTTTTCTCTACAATCTAACATTTCGTCAACTTCCTACTAGAACTGTTAGTCGTGTATCGTTTTTCATAAATGAACGTTTCAAAAAGAGAGCAATCAGTGCGAAAAACTGGTAAACTTTAATTATTCATTAATAAATCTTGGAACGAAATTCATACTTATTCTTGACAATTGATTCAATTTTAAATATACAATAATGTTCAAATATTTTTATCTATTCAAAGACAATAATACAGAGACATTCTATCTGTATTAGAATCCAATCGTTTGAACTTTGCTTTTCACTATGAATACAATCCTATATTTACGTTTGATTGAAATTTATCCAACAAATTCAAATCATAATGAATTTCAAATTTTTTAGGCTAAATTTGTAACACTTTGATGAATAAATTTCAATATTTCGACAAGAAAACTATATCTTCTATTAGAAATTTTAGGAAAATCAATAATTAAAACAATTGTATCCTAGCATGGATAGTACGTCTATACAACATATGAATAATTTTGAATGTTACTAAATATATTTTAGCTTTTTTTTTTCTTTCTTTACGTTAAAAAAAAAAGAGAAAATAGAACAATGTAAATCTATGATTGAACTATCAATAGAAAAAAAAAAGATTCATTGATTGTATCAAGCATAATAATTCAAATTCATTTTCTTTTTTGCTTGTACTTCAAGAATAGCATCCATAAAATCTTCATGTTGAACTTCAATAGCTCCTCGACGTAAAGCAATCATACCCTAGAAAGAAAATAAAATTTTATTTCACTTTTTCATTGTTTTTTTTTATTCTATTTATGTTTATATACGAACAGCTTCAATGCAAACAGCTTTACATTGTGCACCATTAAAATCATCTGTACAACGAGCTAATTCTTCATAATTTACATCCTTGTTTGTATTCATTTTTCGACTATGAATTTGCATAATACGTGCTCGAGCCTAAAAATTAAATAGATAAATCGATTAATATCAATATAAATGTTCGATAAATTTGGTCTATAGATGAACGCAAAAGGAATATCATTGTTGATTATAAATAATTATTTATTTCATATAGCATACATTGAAAAATATATTTGTTAGAAAATTTTTTGAAATATTATAATATTAAAAAGAATATATCGTAATTCATATGATATGATTGATATAAGGACTAATGATTGTACTATATTGCTTATTTTTTTGAATCATCACAAATGACTTTGAGTATTACTTATACAAGAAAGTCAATATTATTTTCATCGTACTAAATAACATCTTATAGTAGTTTATTTACAAAGCACATGCAAAGAAAATAAAGAATTCACTATTTGAAACATGACATATAGAAACTTTTTCACGATGTTGAAATCTGAGACACATTTTACTCACATGAACTTTTTCGCTCTTATAAAAGGTTCATATCGATCTCATAGTATCAGATTACTCACAATATGAATATGTAATGTGATTAACTTTCAATTTCATACTATAGTTAATTTTGAAATATTAACATTGAATTATAAATTTGTAAAATCAATTATCACATTCGAATTTTATTTAACGAGAAAAATTCTTCAACTGATTAATCATTTTGGAGTCTAGTCTATGTGCAACATGTAGACGTTAATGTGTTATGAATATCTGCTAAAATATTTCATTTCTACGATATTTTTAAGTCTATATCGTAGTTCCCTTCAGAAACACGAAGAAAACTTATTTTCAAATTTTGACTTGAAATGTTTCATAGTGACAGATCACAACGAGAATAGTTTGTTATGAAAATTTCAAGTCTTTAAATTGTTGTATATGAGGATAGGAGTAACGAAATGATTCATAATAAACTATTGTCATTAAGTTCTGTCTCTATGGGAAATTTCAAATCGACATTCATTTAAAATAGCTCATTAGGGTCTACTCGATTCAAAAACGATTAACTAGTTGAAGAACTTCTCTGATACGTCCTAGTAACTTATGAATGTCAGGACAAAATTAATTTCATATTACTGGCAATAAATAATTCTATATAGTTACCGTTTCATTTGGATGAGGAAATTCAATTTTTCGATCAAGTCGACCAGAACGTAAAAGAGCTGGATCAAGGATATCAACACGATTCGTTGCAGCAATAACTCTTTAAGGAAAAAAAAATATATAAATATATTAGATTTAAAATTATTTATTTTTTATTTTTTTTACTTTATATCATGATTAGGTTGAAAACCATCAAGTTGATTAAGAAGTTCAAGCATTGTTCGTTGTACTTCACGATCACCAGCTTTTTCACTATCAAAACGTTTTGTTCCAATAGCATCTAATTCATCAATAAAAATAATAGCTGGTGCTTTTTCTTTTGCTAATGCAAATGCATCACGAACTAATTTAGCTCCATCACCTTAACAAATACAAAACAAGCAAAACATATAATTATTTTTCTTTTTTGTCAATTAATTTTCTTATTACCAATAAACATTTGTACAAGTTGTGGTCCAGCCAACTTGAGAAAAGCTGATTTTGTTTGTGCAGCACAAGCACGAGCTAATAATGTTTTACCAGTACCCGGTGGACCATAAAGAAGAACGCCTTTTGGTGGTTGTATACCAAGTGCTTCAAAACGATCTTTATGTGTCATTGGTAAAACAACAGCTTCAATTAATTCTTGAATTTGTTTATCTAAACCACCTATATCACCATATTGTTCTGTTGGT